TTTTCTTGAGGCGTGTGTGTTTTCCAGCGATTCATGCAAATGAAAGTGTTGGTGCTTTCGCTGCTGAATGTCAGTGATGTCGCCGAGGTTGAAACGCCGACACACACGACGCCCGCCGGCACAGATGTTTCCGCAGCGGTGCGTCCGCTGATGCCGATCAGCTGCTTAGCACTGGAAGTGTTGCCACTTTAATCCGTCGTCATTCATCACTTTTGAGAATGCGCTCACGCTGCACTGGGTTATTTCTGGACCACAGCTACTGTGGAGGAAAGTTTCACTTCTGAAGTTTCAGCCGGAGACGATCTGAGTGATCGTACGACGAGTCAAAGTACACGCCAGAGTACACGCCAGAGTGCACCCCCGAGTACACACCAGAGTACACACCAGCGTACACCCCAGAGTACACCCCAGAGTACACCCCAGTCCCACACCTGGGATTGTACCCATATCGTACAAGTGTTTTTGAACAATGTCTAATGACTTGGGTCATGAAGATTTGTGACTTTCAAAATATGGGTCGGCAGAAAAAACAAAGTTTAGGAAACACTGATCTAGACCATAAGAAGCAGCATTTTATGGAAATGAGATTGTTGACGTCAACAGTTACAAAGTTTTTCAGTCAGACATTGTTTCCACAACACAATTGGTTAAAACAGTTTAGTTAAACTTGAACTACTTTAACGATTAAAGCCTTAAAAACTACTGTTAAAGTAATCAAGTCTCTGAGAAACTGAAACTGAAACTGAAAATTTAAACTTTAGCAAAATATACAGAAAAAAGCTAGAAGCTAATCCTTATCTTTTTTTGTTTACCTTCTCAGCGTTGTTGTTAGCTTCATTTTTTATCCAACTCAGCGTTGTTGTTAGCTTCATTTTTTGTCTGTTTGCACTTCCAACCAATAAAGAACCAGCACCAGGACTCTTTTTTTTTCAACTCACCAAACCCATATTGTCCGGTGGGTCTTGGGTTTTTTTTTTTTTTTGTTCGGTCTGCACCAGTACCCGGGTCCATGTTTAGACCTGTCCAGACGAGGCCGACTCTCCGAGGAGACATCGTGCCCTGCTGCTTTGAGGAGCTCTGGTGTGAAAGTGACCTATGACTGAACTGCGGATCACAGCCGCAGCACCTTCTCACTTTCCTTCAAATAAACTTGGCCGCGGCGTCACTTATCCGTAATACTTCCAAAACTCAAACAAAGCCTGGATTTTTGCAATAACATTTAAAGTGCGGCCCAGAAATCATGCTCGGCGCAGGACGTGACCTGTGATTTACACTGTCACTGTTTATACACTGGGAGAGAGATGGATGTCCAGAGTCCTGCTGCAGCGGTCCTGACCATATAAGGTCATCAGTTTCTGTCAGCGCCCACTAATGGCTGTGATTATCCACATCCTGATTTATTTAATTTATGTATTGAATGTCCATCGTGCAAGAAGCGGTTTCTGAAGAATTATGAAAAAAATAAAAGTCTTGACGCACTTGACTCAGGTCGAGTGTTAAACCTGAGGTCGTGGTCCTGATGAGGGGACGTACCGGGATTTGATCTAAGAGTCACCAGACCTTTCAGAAAGTCGGGCTAGAACTGGATTTTTTTTTTACAGTTTAGAAAGTTGACCCCAACAGCTGCTGTTTTTAGCAGAGTGAAGTTAGCTTGAAGCTCATGGTGTACCTTACTGGAAATGCTAAATGTTAGCCAATTATGGGCTAACTTTTTATTATCTTTCGGGCAACTTTGAACAGTCGTACGTGTTGAACTTAGAGTATGAATTAGTCTGGTTCATTCTAGCTTTTTTTTTTTGAACAGTCGTACGTGTTGAACTTAGTAGAGTATAAATTAGTCTGGTTCATTCTTGCTTTTTTTTTAATCTTTATTTTATTTTGTATTATTTTATAGCTAATTCTCACTTAGCCTTCAGTCAACATTTAGCGACATTTGAACCAGGCTAACCTTTAGCTACGCATGGTCTGATTTGGCTGATGGTGATTTATTTTGAGACTCAGAGACTCTGAGGTTTGTTTATCTGTGAAACTTTGTGTTGGATGAACAGATTTGTCACACACACACACATATGTGTGTGTGTGAGTGTGTGAGTGATTTGTGTTTAAATATTTACAGCTGTGACCAGGGGTGTGGACTGTGGTTCTGACACAGTAGAACAGGTGGTTTCAATGGTTTCCTCCTTTTTCTGACACCGTGGACGTGACCGTATTTATTTACGCTGTCTTTCTCTCACACATTCCTTCCCAGTGATCCAGGCCTGGAGCTGCCAGACGAGGACGTGGAGTCCAGTCCACCGAGTCCAGGCCGACGTCCACTCTTTGACTGTGTTTTAAAACAAACCAGTGAAAACTCCTGGGAGCGGGACAGACGTGAGACGACTGAGAGGTGAGTCCAACTCTCACGCTTTTCTCTTCCTTCTTCTTTATTTTGACGCTGAAGTCAATGAATCCAAGGGTGGAGACGAAGAGACAAACGATGACCCCTGACCTCCTGAGGTTCATGTCCCTCCAACCTGGAGTTGAATTTTATAATTCTTCTTCAGTGAAGACTGTGTTAGATAACAGTGCTTTCCCAACAAACTGACTCATGATTTATTTTTTGTAAAATTATTCAGATTTAAATTTATATATATATAAATTTTTGACAAAAAAATGTAACAAGGAAAACACAAAATGTCGAGGTGAGGTGGAAAAAAAATAGATTTTAAAATGAATAATAGCTAAAATAATATATATATAAATTCATATATGACTAATAATTATCTTTAAAATGTTGCCTACTTACGTTCCTGGGCCATTTCAAAGTATTTTATAATAATATAATTATGGTGTGTTTTGCCCCATCCTGGGGGTTGTCACCAGTGGGGGGGGGGGGGGGTCCCGGCGGGGCCCAAAACAGCCTCCCGCTCCCTGCCGCA